AACAAGGACAAGAACAAATACACAACACAGGGGCGTCGCACACGGTACGGTCACTACGGTATTGACCGTGCCACTCTTTGCCCCAAGTACTCCATAAAATGAAATAAAATTCACGGTTCGCGTGAGACTCGGCCGGAAGTACCCCATGAATCAATAAAAATGCACTGATTTGGGCTCTGAATTTCCAAAATGTTCGGCTCGGCCACCCCTCTCCCACGTGTAAATTGTACTTCAGATGGCTGACCATACCACACTAAACTACCTTCAACTGTGCAATTCTGTCTTGTCCAATTCTGACATACCCGAAAGCTGGATTAGATAAAAGGTTTTTGAAAAAGGCTAGAGATCAATGCTTCCTGAGTGTAGTTCCCCATTTCGAATGCAAGAGGTTTGTTCAGGCAGTATAGCAAGTTTGTCTCGGATAACACATGGTGGCCAATGGCTTAAAGGTCGTAAAAAGAGTAGATAAACAAGAGTGTGCAACTCCGAATCTCTCCTGCACAGTCTGCAGATACCCCCGCCGACGGCCGAATTTCTTGTTGGCGTCACCGTTTTCAGAGAAATGGGCATTTTGCCGCAGAGCAGTGTTAGAGCACGTGCTTGGCACCAACTTTGTAATGTAAAGCTCGGCCAAGTGCACGAGGCAAAACTGTCCAAAAGATTTGCAACGCGTGCATTGTAGAAAAGATAACGTCAACAAATTCCGCCGTGGTCGAACCCATCGGCGAGTTGCACACTCTTGTTTATCTACTCTTGGTAGTACTCGGAGCAGCTACATGTATATGCATGGATAGAGTGCTTTCACACATATCACATGACCACACACACACACGCACACACGCACACACACACACACACACACACACACACACACACACACACACACACACACACACACACACACACACACACACACACACACACACACATGCAAGGACACACACACATACACACACACGCAAGCACACGTGCACACACATAAACACACCAGTAGACTTGCTCTTACTTTTGCACGTTGCCGAAGCGTTCCATTTTCCCGTTGCGGCATTGATGATGACACATGCAATTAAGGGCCCGTTGACCGGGTAGTACCTAGGTGGGCAAGCCAGTCTCACAAGGTCGCCAACCTTTCCAGAATGGCCGTTCCCAGCTGGCCCACCACCAACACGTGTCAGTGAACCGGTGAGGGACACCAGCGGTGGACAGTATCCAGCTTTGCCTGTGCAACATGTTACAAGATATATGCATCGTGGGTTTTACAACTGTGTCCCGCACAAAACTGTGAGTGCCTTTCACGCAAACTAGCAATGTTGACAACTGATAAGCAAGCCGCTTTTTCAATTTTTCAATTTTTATTTCATTCTCCGTGCAAACATATTGTGGAAGTGGGCATTGGCCAGCCATGGCAACAAGAAGAAGGGGAAGAAGAAGGAGTGTATAGGAAGAGAATAATGCACCAACAGGGTTACTTATTAGAATGATATGAATGAGTAGACTGTACCTTTTTAAAATATACACAGGCGCCTTTCTTCAAAAATTTGTCTCAGTAATTTCCTTACAAAGTTCACCGCAGAGCCAGACAGAGATCATACAATACCAACGCTTCGGTGTCTCTTTGGTGAGTGCGTTGGTTTGCATCTCGCATTTCCTGATTCTAACGTTACGGTCCAATTATTAAACATGGCCATCCACAACACTAGGAGCCTAGGTACATGTACGTGCATCTTTTGATGGAAATCACGACACCATGGTTATCGGATGTAAGTTGACTCCCGCTTGTGTCCGTCATCACGAAAGAATAAAGGACACTTGCAAAGGAAAGAGGGATAAAGTAAATTGGACTCACGTTCACAATTCGCCGTCTCGTTCCACTTGCCCTTGCTGCCTGATGTAGCTATGCACCACAATAGTGCACCAGCCGTCGCAATGTATCCGTCATGACAGGTAACCTTGGCAACTGTTCCTAGAGTCCGGCTGCCATGACGAGACACATTGCCGCTTTGAATTGCGCCGTGGTGAGTGCAGTAGTGTGGGTCGACTGCAGCAGGCGGAAAAAAGTGAAGGAATCAAAAATATGGCGACCGGAAATTTCGGTAGGAAATATACAGACATGAATATTGAATACAGCCTACACTGGTCAACACACATGGAAGAGCGTGATCTCAAAGATCAGGTGAAAAATATTTTTTCTTTGGGTCTACTGAATAGTCATGTTGAATCAATCCCATGGAGAATTCCAATGGGGTTGGGGGGGGGGGGGTTCCAGGATCAGTGAGTGATTTGTCGTGGATATGGCAGAGGTGTCAGCGAGTACTTTATTGTGGTATGGTAAACCATTTGAAGTACTTCTCTTGGGCCCGATAACAAACGTTTGTCCTTTCGAAATCTAGAACCCATATCATCGCATGTTATTGCTTCACGGGGTTACCTCAGGCAAAAGGTGGTACACTAGGGCTTGGATATGATGACATAAGTCATAATGAAACAACAAACTAACGGCGTCTGGATCCACTATGCCCACAACAAAGTACAGGATATGCTGGCCAAGTCCCGCATGTCGCATGCAGGTGTGGTTTTCTGTACGAGAAGTAAGTCCCTGACTGGAAGGGCCCTACTACTACTGCTGCTGCTGCTGCTGCTGCTGCTGCTGCTGCTGCTGCTGCTGCTGCTGCTGCTGCTGCTACTACTACTGGCGGATGTGGCACCCTACTCTTAGGTACCCTCTCCGATACACCGCCTCCTTGCGCATCTTTCCCTTCCTGCCCTGAAACAAATGCCCCCCCCCCCCACACACAAATCCAGAAGAAAATTACTCCCACTCCACTGTCATTTATTGTCTGCTTGCTGTGTGTGTTACGTACGTTTGCATTCCAGTACGGCGCTCCAGTCGCCCGCTGACGACGTGCCCGTTTGGCAGGTGGCCGTGGTGACACCCACCGGTAAAAACCCGGCGTGACACACGATCGTGGCGCGGTCATGTAGTATTCTGCCGTCACCGCTGCTGTAAGACAATGTGGCATGGTCGACGCTCAGGTCCATGCAATATCCAGGTTGAACTGTCGAATGACGAGGGGAAACACACACCGGAGAGAAACACATTAGGCTAGGGTCAATGCACACCAAGAAATACTCAGAACAAGACAAAGACATACACATGCCTGACCGCGCACGCACATACACACGCACGCATGCACACACCTGGTCCTGCTATTGGTCCTGGTAAACACTGCCGTTACGGTTGCATGTCCCCTTGCGGGGCCGACAACATGGAACAACGAGCGACGGCAGAAAGTCGGCGATCTGCCGAGAGGTCAGGGACCATCCGGACGTACACACACACACACACACACACACACACACATACGCGCACACACACACACAAGCACACTCACACACATTCGTGTGCACACACACTGCATTCGGACTTGCTCGCTGCTACCGTCTGAACATGTTGATCTCCCAGGATGGGGAAGAGATATTCCGTAGGATTATAGGAAAGACGTCCAAATTGCTTAGCAAGGACATGTACACAGGACACACATGCACGCACAAACACAAACACACACACGCACGCACGCACGCACACATGCATGCACGCACACAAACAGACCATACTTTCACAAGTCGGTGTAGGTATCCATTGTCCATGATTCAGTGATTGTGGACGGCACGTAGATTTAGATGCCGAGCCTTTGGGAAGCTGGTAACCATGGTGACAGGTCACGGTGACCGCTGCATCAAGTGGCAATGCAGTATTGTTTGATAGAGATCCGTTTGTCACTGTGGCGGGCTTGCAGTAACTGGGCATTTCTGTAAGGTGCATGTCACAAACACAGAAACGCACAATTAGAGACAGATTTGCCATGGCTGTCACATAAGAAAAATGCTGGCCATGCCTCATGCAGTTGTCGATGGGTCTTTTCTGTCCCTACCATCGACCATGATGTGTTGCTGTTGTCATGTTACTACTAACCCATGCAGCCGTTATTATTATTATTTGTATTATTAATATTTGTATTATTAATATTTGAGGGATTCCCCAAAGGCCGAAGCCTAAATCAAGGGGGTCTCCGAGAATAAATATACGTGTACAATACGTGTACAATAGGGTGCAATTTTTAAAAGGAAGAAAATATTAAGATAAAAAAAGATTAACGTGAAAGGCTGTTAGCAGCTGCTCAGGTGTATAGCCCGCTGGTTCACGCAGCCTCCACGCTCCATGCCAGAGAAATGTACTTATAGGCATGTTTGTTAAAGTGTAGGAAGGGGAAAATCTGACCCTGCATACTACAGCCGCAGCAACAGTATGCGCCCTGTATTGGTGTCATTGGGGATTAGACAGGTATTGTCATGCATTTTTTAAATATGTTGGGTTAGCTTTTGGGCTAACCCTAGTTAGCGATAAGACCGATGCGCTGCTCTCTATCTCATGCTAGCTGCGACTGAGCTGGCTTTACACGTGCCCTCAACTGCTGCGCATGCGCGCCCAAATCGCCTTGGGTAGCTCTTGCTGCGCTGACTTTAGCTTGCGCTTTCCTTTGCAGTGTCACTGAGCAGCAACCGGAATTTGTTTGCGATACTTCAGTGCACCATGTGCACGACCGAGCAATAATACCTGGTTCCTGACAGTTTTGCATATCGTTGATATGCTGTCAATATGTGTGCAAGTTATTAATAGGCAATGCACATCTGCACACATGTTTACAGCCTGCCTAGTTTAGTAATTGCTAGCAGTCGAAAAGCTCCAATAACAAAAGACGAGCATTCCACATACCAGATGTGGCATTGTATATCTTGCATTCAAACACCTTGGGGTCATGCTCTGAAAACCCCACATCGCACGGCGATATGATGATAGTCCCAGCGAGGCGTGCGATCATGGCACGCCTACAGGACGAGAGCATGCCGCTTCACTTACCGTGACATGCACCTGCCTTGAAGCTGAAGCCGTACGGACAACAGATGAAGGAGCCGGGAGTGTTGTGGCATTTCTGCTGCGC